CAACTGGGGAACAAAAGTGTCACAAGTGAATCTTAAACTTCACGAGCAACTGATAATTGAGTAAAGGCCGTTTTCTTTTACACTTTGACAATGGAAAGTTTCTGTTATCATTTAGGTTTACAGTCATTACAGATCATCTTAAATATGCTCTACTGTTCAGTTTTAATTAACTAATTTGCACAAATTTGGTGAAAAATCTGACAAGGCTGATTAGATTCTTAGGACTACTGGTAGGGATGTGAGAAGATGATTTCTGAAATTTGACTTTTGTTTTTGATTTAAAAAAAAGAAGTGAGATCCCTGCTTATAGTCATTTTAATCAGAGTTGCAATGAATGGCATGTAAATGATTTATTTTAAATCATTGGTGGAAGAGCCAAAGAAATAAAAAGGAGTGGACCATTGGGGTGATATAAACTGAAAATAGTGAAACTTTGATATATTAGAATCCCTCCATTTTGCCGGATAGATACACTCACTGAATTTTCATATAAAATAAGAAATAATTTAAAAAATATATAATGTATTTAATAGAAATTTTAATAAATTTCTTTGTGTAAAAAGTAACTCGTCAATATGTAAAAAAAAGTATGTGTTACCTTCTCCCATGAAGAAATAGAAAATATACTAATAACACTTGTAAAAGGCCCTATTGAGAGAAAAAGAGAAATAACATAACAATAATGTTTTGTTGGAATAGAATAAAGTAATTTTTTAAAGAACAAGTATGGTTTTACTTGGGAAAATAAATTACTGATGTCTTATTGAAAAAATGGAATTTGAATAACATTAATACTGCTTTATTCAAGAGATCAGTATATCAGGAATCACATAGCTCACAATTCTAGGTGGGTCACATTTGACCAACCATTGATAAATGTCTCAAAATTAAAATTGTGACAATCACTTTTTGAAACTACACAATTGCTTTTTTTAGAAAAAAAAATATATATGTTTCATTGCACTTTAGGTTCTAGGGTATACATACAGATCATGCAGGATTGTTGCATAGATACGTACAATGCAATCTGGCATTTCTCCCCATGTTATCCCTCCCCAACTCCCTAGCCCCTGCTGTCCCTCCCCAATCCCCCCCCAACAGATTCCAGTGTGTGATGCTTCCCTCCCTGTATCCATGTATTCTCATTGTTCAACACCCACCTATGAGTGAGAACATGTGGTGTTTGATTTTCTGTTCTTGCATCAGTTTGCTGAGAATGATGGTTTCCAGATTCATCCATGTCCCTACAAAGGACATGAACTCATTGTTTTTTTTTATGGCTGGGTAGTATTCTATGGTGTATATGTGCCACATTTTCCCTGTCCAATCTGTCACTGATGGGCATTTGGGTTGGTTCTGGGTCTTTGCTATTGTAAACAGTGCCGCAATGAACATACAAGTGCATGTGTCTTTATAATAGAACGATTTATAATCATTTGGATATATACCCAGTGATGGAATTGCTGGGTCAAATGGAATTTCTATTTCTAGGTCCTTGAGGAGTTGCCACACTGTCTTCCACAATGGTTGAACTAATTTACACTCCCGCCAACAGAGTAAAAGCATTCCTATTTCTCCACATCCTTTCCAGCATCTGTCTTCAGATTTTTTAATGATTGCCATTCTAGCTGGTGTGAGATGGTATCTCAATGTGGTTTTGATTTGCATTTCTCTAATGACCAGTGATGATGAACATTTTTATCCTTCGCCCACTTTTGAATGGGTTTGTTTTTTTCTTGTAAATTTGTTTTTGGATCGTTAGCTCTTCTTGTTGCATTGATCCTTTTACCGTTATGTAATGTCCTTCATTGTCTCTCTTGATCTTTGTTGGTTTAAAGTCTATTTTATCAGAGACTAGGATTGCAACTACTGCTTGCTTTTGCTCTCCATTTGCTTGGTATATCTTCCTCCATCCCTTTATTTTGAGCCTATGTGTATCCTTGCATGTGAGATGGATTTCCTGGATATAGCACACTGGTGGGTTTTGACTTTTTTTTTTTTTTGAGATGGAGTTTCACTCTTGTTACCCAGGCTGGAGTGCAATGGCGCGATCTCGGCTCACCGCAACCTCCGCCCCCTGGGTTCAGGCAATTCTCCTGCCTCAGCTTCCTGAGTAGCTGGGATTACAGGCACGCGCCACCATGCCCAGCTAATTTTTTTGTAATATTTAGTAAAGACGGGGTTTCACCATGTTGACCAGGATGGTCTCGATCTGCTGACTTCGTGATCCACCCGCCTCGGCCTCCCAAAGTGCTGGGATTACAGGCTTGAGCCACCACGCCCGGCCAGGTTTTGACTTTTTATCCAATTTGCCAGTCTGTGTCTTTTGATTGGGGCATGTAGTCCACTTACATTTAGGGTTAATATTGTTATGTGTGAATTTGATCCTGCCATTTGGATGCTACCTGGTTGTTTTGCCCATTAGTAGATGCAGTTTCTTCATTGTGTTGATGTTCTTTACCATTTGATATGCTTTTGGAGTGGCTGGTAGCGGTGTTCCTTTCTATGCTTAGTGCTTCTTTCAGGAGCTCTTGTAAAGCAGGCCTGGTGGTGATGAAATCTCTGAGCAATTGCTTCATTGTAAAGGATTTTATTTCTCCTTTGCTTATGAAACTTAGTTTGTCTGGATATGAAATTCTAGGCTGAAAGTTCTTTTCTTTAAGGATGTTGAATATTGATCCTTACTCTCTTCTGGCTTGTAGGGTTTCTGCTGAGAGATCTGCTGTGAGTCTGATGGGCTTCCCTTTGTGGGTAACCTGACCTTTCTCTCTTGCTGTCCTTACCATTTTTTCCTTCATTTCAACCCTGGTGAATTGAAGATAATGTGCCTTGGGGTTGCTCTTCTTGAGGAATACCTTTGTGGTGGTCTCTGTATTTCCTGGACTTGAATATTGGCCTGCCTTTCTAGGTTGAGTAAGTTTTCCTGGATAATATCCTGAAGACTGTTTTCCAGCTTGAATTCATTCTCTCCCTCACATTCAGCTATATCTATTAATCATATATGAGGTCTTTTCACATAATCCCATATTTCTTGAAGGCTTTGTTCATTTCTTTTTACTCTTTTTTTGGTCTAATCTTGCCTTCTGATTTTATTTCATTGAGTTGATCTTCAGTCTCTGATATCCTTTCTTACTCTTGGTCAATTCAACTTTGAAACTTGTGTATGCTTCACGAAGTTCTTGTGTTGTGTTTTTTCAGCTCCATCAATTCATTTATATTCCTCACTAAGCTGTTTATTCTTGTTAGCATTTCATCAAACCTTTTTCAGGGTTTTTAGTTTCTTTGAATTGGGTTAGATCATGTTCTTTTAGCTCAGAGAAGTTTCTTATTACCCACCTTCTGAAGCCTGTTTCTGTCAATTCATCAAACTCATTCTCCCTCCAGCCTCGTTCCCTTGCTGATGAAGAGTTGAGATCCCTTGGAAGAGGAGAGGCATTCTGGTTTTGGGTGTTTTCATACTTTTTGCACTGGTTTCTTCCCATCTTTGTGGATTTATCTCTGTGATCATTTTAGTTGGTGACTTTCAGATGGGGTCTCTGAGTGGATGTCCTTTTTGTTGATGATGAAGTTATTTGTTTCTGTTTTTTAGTTTTCCTTCTAACAGTCAGGCCTCTCTACTATAGGACTGCTGGAGGTCCACTCCAGACCCTGCTTGCCTGGTGATCACCTGCAGCATCTGCAGAACAGTAAAGGTTCCTGCCAGTTTCTTCTTCTGTTATCTTTGTCCCAGAAGGATACCCGCTAGATGTCAGCCTGAGCTCTCCTTTATGAGGTGTCTCTTTGGATATATGGGGGGTCAAGGAGCTGCTTGAGGAAACAGTCTGCCCTTTATAGGAGCTCAAGTGCTGAGCTATGAGCTCCATTGTTCTGTTCAGAGCTGCTGGGCAGGTAGATTCAAATCTGCTGCATTGGAACTCATAACAGGCTTTTTCCCCAGGTGATCTGTCCTGGGAAGTTGGAACTTTATAAGTTCCTGTCATTCTGCTGCCTTTTTTCAGAGATGCCCTGCCCAGTGAGGGAGTAGCTCAGTCACAGTCTGCCAGCAGAGGCATTGCGGAGCTGCTGTGGGCTCTGCCCAGCTGCTGTGTTAACTTCCTTGCTGTTTTGTTTATAGAGGTATAGTTAGAACTGCCTCTGTAGTGGCGGTCTGCCTCAGTTGTGGCAGACCATTCTGGATCCAGCTGTGCTTGCTGTGAAATTCTCAATCCAGAGTGTTTCAGATTGCTGGTCTTCATGTGGGTGGGACCCACTGAGCCAGATCACCTGGCTCCCTGTTTCAGCCCCCTTTTTTTCAGTTGAGTGGGTGACTCTGTCTCCCAGGCATTCCAGGCACTAGTTGAAAAGGCACCCAGATGTTTGTGAGTTTTAGTCCAGAGACCCACTGTGACAGCTGAAACAGCTATGCTGGAGACTTGTGGTGCTTTTCCACCTGGGAATCTCCTGGTCTGTAGGCAGTAAAAATTCCTTTGGAAATGTGATGTTCACTCACCCTATGCATTCTTACTGGGAACTGCACTCCAGAGCTGTTCCTATTCAGCCATCTTGTATCCAGATAAAAACTACAGAATTTCATCTATTTTGTTCGTAGTTTTGCATGTTGATTAATGAAAAATCATTTGCATGACATTCAAATTAAAGCTTTTAAATATACATATTTGTGGGATATCTGTGTGTGTGTGTGTGTGTGTGTGTGTGTGTATATATATATCTCACATTTAAAAAAAAAAGGCATAAAAAATGATAGCAAATTTGGTCTGTAATTAAACCACAGGAAAAAAATGGAGAAATTTGATGTTTTAAGATGAGACATAAAATGATATTTTGAATTCAGACAATGAGCATTCTCATCAAAGAGGATTATTTTTATCACTTTTTATAAACATTATTTTTTTGTTCACTTGGATAATTAAATACAATTAATATCTTTAGTTAAATACTGAATATATTGTAAAATAATATTCAAGATGTTCTGAGTCATTTACAGAAAATGTACCCTGTAAAACCAATAATTAATGGCAAGTTAAAATCAATGAAAGAAGTTACTAATAATTTTACCATTAATATAAGATGATATTATGTTATGCATGAGTCAGATAATATTTTATTAAAAATGAATAAAGACTATGAATAGTTTCGAGATGGCAAATAGCCAACCTGCTCTTTTCAAAACTCTCACTTATGACTGTTCCCAGACATCACAAATTGATCATAGCACTCCTTTTATGGGACCTGAACTGAGCCTCATATTTCTTTCCACAACTCAAGGCATCATTACCAATCAACTGGATTTGACACTTGAGATGAAATTTCTTTACCATCCCTGAGACAGACAATCCCTTTTCTCAGAAAAGGGAATTGAAAGAGGGATTATGTGACTTGGCTCAAATCACATCACAGCTTTGTGATACATCCCATATTGGTATCCGTCAGTCTATTGAGTTCTTCATATTCCCTGGTTTATTTTTATTATTACTATTTTTATAGTATTTGATATTTTAGGGGGTTTAGTATAGATTCTACATATAGTATCCATTCAACAAATATTTTTAAATGACAGGCTCAATACTAAGCATAAGTTTCTCATTTTCATTATAAAATAAATGAAGCACATTAACTATTACGGAACTCAATAGATGGTATTTCTTTTATACACTTTTGGCTGAGTGCAGATTCTGAGACACTGGTGCTTAAGGAAAAAAGGAGCACTTGAGTGATGAAAAGAGTGCTTACCTTTTACTTTTAGAGAAAGCGAAGCTGTATAAATTTAAAGAGGTTTTCTGTAAATTCAAGAATATGCAAAATGGTAAGCTGAGATCATAACATTTTAATTCATTTATTCAACTGTGGGATTATGAAAAAATGTAGGTAATAGCTTCTGTTCAATAGAAATACAATAGAAGGAAGAAAACAGCTTGGGTAAAAGTATTAAATTATAGTATAGATCTATATTTGCTGAATGGATAAAGTACTGATGAGGGCATGCAAAATCAGTTAAAATTAAAGTTGGGTTGGGATTAGTTTGGGAAATTTGTGTTTTGGAGTAGAATTTTAGTTCTAAAATGATTGTCTTCTCAAAGAGCCAACAACTTACATTAAATGTTCATTGCAGCTCACACCAATGCATTTTAATGTCTGATAAGCCAGTTGTTCTCTTGCCTTGTTGCCCTGGCTAGAATCTTCAGTACAATGTTGAATAGAGTTGGTAAGCTTCAACATCCTTGTCTTGTTTCTGATACTAGGGAAAAGCATTAAATCTTCCACCATTAAGTATTATAAGTTAGCTACATGTTTTTGTAGATGCCATTTTGATAAACCTCAACCTGATGGTTGAGAAAGTTCTTATCTATTACTAGTTTGTTGAATGTTCTTATCATGAAATGATGCTGGATTTTGCCAAGTGCTTTTTCTTAATCTATTAACATGATCGTCTAATTTTTGTTTTTTATTCTATAGATATGAAGTATTTTTTCAGATATTAAATTAGCTTTGCAGCATTTGGTTATGATGTATGATTCTTTTGCTATGTTGCTAGATTTTGTTTGCTAATATTTTGTTGGTTTTTGCATCCATATTTATAGTTTTCATTTTGTGTAATGTTTTAGTCTGGTTTTGGTATGAGGGCAATGCTGGACTCATTAAATGAACTGAGAAGTGTTTTCTCCTCTTCCATTTTTTTTGAAATGTTTGATAAGAATTGGTATCAATTGTTCTTTAAGTGTTTGATAGAATACAGTATATAGGCCTAAAGCTTTCCTTTGTGGGTAGTGTTTTGCGCTATTCAGTCTATTCTCTTGTTATGTCATTTCAGATTGTCTATTTCTTCTGGAGTCTTTTTCACTAGTTTGTCTCTTTCTTCATTTCATCTAATTTAACTAATTTACTGGTATACAATTTTTAATAGTATTCTTTTATAGTCTCTTATTTCTGTAGGGTCATTAGTAATGTCCCCTTTTTCATCTATGATTCTAGCAATTTGCTGCTTCTCCTTTGTATTGTGGTCAGTGTATTAATAGCTAATACTTTATCGCTTTTGTCGATTTTGTCAAAGAGCCAACTTTTGGTTTTATTAAGTTTTCTGTTTTATTTTTCAATTCTCTATTTCTTTAATTATAATAATTATTTAGTTTATTTTGCTTGCTTTGGACTTAGTTTGCTCTTCTTTTTCCAGGAACTTAAGGTGAAAGGTTATGTGATTTGATATCTTCTTTCTTAATATAGGCATTTACAGCTACATATTTTCCTTTAAGCATTGCTTGAGCTGCATCACACACATTTTGATATGTTGTATGTTCATTTTGATTAATCTCAAAATATTTTTGACTTTGCAATTTATTCCTTTTCAACCTACTGATTATTTAGGCATGTGCTGTTTAATTTTCACATATTTGTGAGTTTATCAAAATTTTTCCTGTTATTGATTTCTAATTTCATTCCATGGTGGTCAAATAATACACTTTATATTATTTTTGTTTTTAATTTACTGCAGTTGGTTTTATGGCTGAACATGTGCTCTATCCTGGAGAATGTTTTATGTGAACTTGGGAAGAATAGATATTCTGTTATGGTTGGATGGAATGTTCTGTGAATATCCTGTGGGTCTAGTTGGTTTACAGTGTTATTAAAGTTATCTATTCAAATGTTATTCTTCTGTCTAGTTCTATCCATTATTCAAAGTCAGGATATTAAAGTCTGCAACTATTATTGTTATTCTTTTCTCTCTCTGTTTCTATTAGTCTGTTTTTGTGTATTTTGGTATTCTGCTATTATATGCATATAGTTATAATTGTATCTACTTGATTGTCCCTTTTATGTTTTTAAACTGTTACTTTTATTTCTAGCTTTTTTTTGGTTTTAAGGTATATTTTATATGATAGTGGTATAGCACTCCAGTGTTCTTATGAATGTAGTTTGCATGACATAACCATTTCTATCCTTTTACTTTCAATTTATTAGCACCTTTAAGTCTAAAGTATGTCTGCAGTAGATAGCATGTAGTTGAATTATGTTATTATGCAGTCTAACAATCTTTGCCTTTTGATTGGATTCTGTAATCCATTCACATTTAATGTTTTCGTTGATATAGTTGTATTAATGTCTGTGATGAGTAAGAGGTACCCAGTAGGTATCTTTTGAGGAAAAGCTAAAGGAAGAGAGAAGTGTAAGTGATGTGGACCTTTGCCTTTATCTCTTTCAAGTGACTTACATATATATCTAGCATATGGTAAACTCTCGAGTACTTAGGATTAGGAAAGGGGAGAAGAGAGGTCAACAGAACAAGGCACCAGCCACTTAATGCAGTTATTCTAAGCCCAGTACTTACTGCATGAACTTGAGTAAGTCACCATTCTTTTTGAGCCACAACTTCTTTATCTCTAAAGTAGATGTAGTATTACCTACTTTGCAGGGTTGCTGAGAAAATTAAATGCCCTGGTGTGTTCAATGGCACCTGGAACTTGGCCTGGCTTGTGGTACATACTCTCCACCATTTGTTTTTTAGTGTTCCCCTTTGTGAAGGGATTTGAGACTATAGCATTGAATAGACATTGAAGAAATTTTGTGAGTGATCCAGTACCAGTTTTAAGCACAAATAGCAACTCTCTATAACCATGTACATTACACTTTTGTGTACCTTTATAAAAGAAAAATTTTACCATGTGTCACTTCTAATAAATAGTGTGCAAGCCAAAGGGCCTATTTTAAGAAAACCAGTGAGGATGCAGAACTTTGTTTAAATAAAACAAGATTCTAGATGACTAGAAGGTGAAAACTAAACTAATAGTTCCAAAGTTCATGATAAATGAATTAGGAAAGTAATCAAAAAGACTTAGCAAAGCAATGCAGTTATTCTTCATCTTAATGAATCTCTTAAAGAGTAAATAAAAGGAGAAAGATGAAAGTAATTATTGACTGTGTACCTAGTTGTTGGAGCTGCAGGTATCTCCAAGGAATACAGCTCATAAAGCTGAGGCTTTAGGTGAATGTACATATATATCATGTAGCTGCCTTAGAGCTGGGGAATGATATATCACGTTTACATAGTGGACATATAAATACTAGTTTAATGAACATGTTATGTAGAACTCCATCCTTCTGCCAGGACTGCTGAATTTGTAGAGTGTGTTTCTTCTGTGTTAGGAGGTCTAGAGAGAACATGGCAGTAAGCATCAGATGCTTGAGTTACCTCTCATTTTAGCAATCCTTGCTGTATAGATAAGACTTTAAATTTCCCTGCCTGCCATTGAACAGCAAAAATGTCAGAGAAGACAAATGAAAAAGAAAACATTTTTGGCAAGCATTCCACGAAAGGAAGAGGAATGACCCACAATATTATTATTGCTATGAGAAATGTAATAAATGTTGTTTCTGACTATTGTGTCAGAGGGTGGGTTTGCTGGAGCAGATTTTATGAGTCAACCCAAGAAAATACTTTTACAGTTGGGAAATTCCTGTTCATTTTAATGATGAATAAAGAATATGCAGTTTAGCCTGGTCATTTGGACTGACACAACAATTAAGTCATCTTGTCCAGTAAGTTGTATAATAACTCTGGTTATATAATGATCACATTACTTGATATGGTGGCTGGGGATCAGAGCAGGAGGAGACCATACAATACTTAGGGGCTGGTTGCAGTAAAGTTCTGCACAAAAGATAATGTGTCCAGGATGAAGAAAGACACCAGTCAGCAGTTGAAAGCTGGAACAGAGAGAAGATCTATTAAGGGCAGATTGCTGGGGCCCAAGTCAAACAGAATTCTAGTTCCAGCCCACTTTTCAGTGTGCGCATATCCGGGTGTGTTGAGGGTATTGGAGTGCTGGCTGTAGCTGTTTTGGGAGCCCAAGTTCCAGACACTTGACTAATTTCTCTCCTCACCTCCTGGAGAAGACAAGGTGCTAAATATCTAACAGATTTGGTTAGAATTGACACAAAGATTAAATGTAGCTACTTTTTTCAGCTGAAGCTCTTTAGGGCCTGATACTGAGCAGGGCTGAGCAAGGCTGAGATTGACATATCTTTGTGTAAGTGTGGTAGAAATGACAGATGTGTGGCCCAAGGCTGCCTTTTGGCTTGCAGATACCACTGATCTTTACAGAGCCTTTTGTTGTCTGCCATTAGGTTATGTCAGACAGAAAAATATGCCCCAAGAACAGTCAATCCAAAACTTCAGACATTTTCATAGCAGAATTGAATCAACTATAATCAAATGGATATATTATGTCTAAACCAATCCTAAAATGACCTTCCTCTAAAAATAAAGAACGGTTCTGAAAAAGGTCAATTCTTTTGTACTGTGTGGTCAAGGTCTAAATTATTTGCCACTTAAAATCTTTGTTCTAAAAGAATAATGCTACAGGGATGGTCACTAAAAGCCTGCCTCTTCTGTTGCTTCTGTGAGTCAGAATTATTATACTGTGGTAACATGGAGCCCATGACAGCAAAAGGTTGCCTCATGATTTCTCGGAAACTTTCTAGACCACATTCTGTTTAGTCCTCCAGTCTATGGTGAAAGCTACACCTAGTTTGTTAATCACCGGGAAAACCATATTCTTTCTTTAAATTCTCTAAAGGTATAACAATGAGAAAAGTGTGAACTATGTTTAATTTTGTTTGCTGATATTTAATAAATGAGATAATATGTGTAATCTTTTCCCAGGTTTGCCAAACATTCAGAAAATTTGAACAGTTACGATTGCCTCATGGGGAGAGATTTATATAAAAAAATTCTATTTTTTTCCCAAAAATAAAATGATGATAGCATATTAAAGGGAAATATACTACCCATTGTGGGTGTCTGAACTCTAGGGATTACAATTTTGGCCAAGATTGTTGGATTTCTACTTAGACATAGTTTTGCTATTCTATTTTAGTGGTGAGATCTTTGTGATAAGGGGCAGAAGGAAGAAAGAGATTATGAATATAGTTTATTTAACAACATATTTTTTAAAAAAAATTTGTTGTATTTTAAGTTCTGGGGTACATGTGCAGAACATGCAGGTTTGTTACATAGGTATACATGTGACGTGGTGGTTTGCTGCATCCATCACCTCATCATCTACATAAGGTATTTCTCCTAACGCTATCCCTCCCCAATTTGCCCACCCCCTGCTATCCATCCCCTAGCCCCCGACCACCCACAAGCCCCAGTGTGTGATGTTCCCCATTCCCTGTTCCCCTCTCTGTGTCCATGTGTTCTTGCTGTTCACCCTCTTATGAATGAGAACATGTGATGTTTGGTTTTCTATTTCTTGTGTCAGTTTGCTGAGAATGATCATTCCAGATTCATCCATGTCCCTGCAAAGGTCATGAACTCATCCTTTTTTATGGCTGCATAGTATTCCATGGTGTACATGTGCCATATTTTCTTTATCCAGTCTATCAGTAATGGGCATTTGAGTTGGTTCCAAGTCTTTGGTATTGTGAACAGTGTTGCAATAAACATACATGTGCATGTGTCTTCATAATAGAATGATTTATAATACTTTGGGTATGTACCTAGTAATAGGATTGCTGGGTCAAATGGTATTTCTATTTCTAGATCCTTGAGGAATTGCCACATTGTCTTCCACAATGGTTGAACTAATTTACACTCCCACCAACAGTGTAAAAGCATTCCTATTTCTCCACATCCTCTCCAGCATCTGTTGTCTGCAGATTTTTTAATGATTGCCATTCTAACTGGCATGAGATGGTATCTCAATGTTGGTTAGATTTGCATTTCCCTAATGACTAGTGATGATGAGCTTTTTTTTTTCATATGTACATTGGCTGCATAAATGTGTCTTTTGAGAAGTGTCTGTTCATATCCTTTGCCCATATTTTGATGGAGTTGTTTGTTTTTTTTTTCCTTGTAAATTTAAGTTCTTTGTAGATTATGGATATTAGCTCTTTGTCAGATGGGTAGATCACAATTTTTTTTTCCCATTCTGTTGCTTGCCAGTTCACTCTAATGATAGTTTCTTTTGCTCTGAAGAAGCTCTTTAGTTTAATTAGATCCCATTTGTCTATTTTGACTTTTGTTGTCATTGCTTTTGGTGTGTTAGTCATAAAGTCCTTGCCCATGCCTATGTCCTGAATGGTATTACCTAGGTTTTCTTCTAGGGTTTTTATGGCATTAAGTCATATGTTTAAATCTTTAATCCATCTTGTATAGTTAATTTTTGTATAAGGTGTAAGGAAGGGATCCAGTTTCAACTTCCTGCATATGGCTAGCCAGTTTTCCCAACACCATTTATTAAATAGGGAATCCTTTCCCCATTGCTTGTTTGTGTCAGGTTTGTTAAAGATCAGATGGTTGTAGATGTGTGGTGTTATTTTTGAGGTCTCTCTTCTGTTCTATTGGTCTATATCTCTGTTTTTGTACAAGTACCATGCTGTTTTTGTTAATGTAGCCTTGTAGTATAGTTTGAAGTCAGGTAGTATAATGCCTCCAGCTTTGTTTTCTTTTTGTTTAGTATTGCCTTGGCTATGTGGGCTGTTTCTGGTTCCATATGAAGTTTAAAGTGTTTTTTGCCAATTCTGTGAAGAAAGTCAATGGTAGCTTGATGGGGATAGCATTGAATCTATAAATTATTTTGGACAGTATGGCCATTTTCATGATATATATTGTTCTTAACTATGAGCATGGAATGTTTTTCCATCTGATTGTGTCCTTTCTTATTTCCTTGAGCAAGTTCTCCATGAAGAGATCACTCACCTTCTGGATCACTTTTGCTGGGAACTGTGGACCAGAGCTGTTCCCATTTGGCCGTCTTGGCCTGCAACAACATATTTCTCATTGTTAAGTAAATTAGATCTAGATATTTAAAATAATTAGTGTTGGGTGATGTAAAACACTCAGATTTAGAGTTTACACTTTTACATCTCAAATCAATATCATTAAATTCATATTTTACAATGTGAACTTCTTTAAATTTCAGATAAACATAATGAAATTCTGACCATTTTCAATGAACCCTATAAATTTTCATGTACTTTGATTACATATTGCTCTCTCTATAGTAAGATCAAAGTTTGATTTAGTGGCAAGAGTATTCTGTCTTGCAGTCAGAATATCTGAGTTCGAATCCAGATGGCTCTACCTATTAAGTGTGTAAACTTACCAGGGTTAAGTTATTTAATCCTGTCAGGTCTCAGTTGTCTCATCTGTAAAATGGAAACAATAATAGTTTCGTCACCAGGTAATATTGGAGATGGAGTTTGAATGCAGCTAGACTAGTGTTGATGCTTGGTAGTACAGCCACGTGGTGGATGTTCCAGGTAACCTTGAAAGTCATATCCAACCTTAGCTTCCTTGACAAATGGGTTATAAAAGGTTCTTTGCACTATTTTTCATTCAACTCACATACTATTGGGCATTTACTATGTATCAGCTGTGTCCTTGGTGGGTATATATGGGGGACATGAGCACATGGAGGAAAGGAATACATTCACCTCTTTTCTGCTTTTTTTCTGTCATGTTCCAGCTCACCCAGAACTTGTCCCTTGACTCTGTCTCCATTGACTGTGTCCAGCATCCTGTGCTTCCTGCTTTTTAGGGCTCATTCTCCATTCTCTGAGGTTTTTCAGAGGGAAAATGAATTAATACTATCAAACACTTAGAGCAGTTTCCTGGCATTAAATAAATACTCCATAGTTATAGTTATTGTTATCTGCCCATTTTCCCTGAGCTGTAACCACATTCTACGGGGTTGGTCACCTTCTATTCAGGTTCCTTCTGGGAAAGAAGTTTCCTTACTGTCTGTGAGGAATTCAAGAAAGATAAGAGCAAGGATAAGAGTGTTGGCATTTTAGATTAAAAACAACTTTGAATATGACCTTTGTTAGATAAGAAACTGCAGAGTTATCCATAGGACAAGCATATCTTATATAATGCAATGTTGATAAGTAAAGTATTATTTGTTATTTATCATAAGTTGTATTTTGTCAAACTTTTCATATTTCTAAGTTTTACAATCAATTTATATAAGATATCAAAAAATGAAAAAGACTACAGAGAAAAGCATCCATGCACAGTCACATATCTTCTGCATTCTCTAAACAACTCAGTTTATTTCCAACAATTGCATTAGAAAATTTCTTACCAAGGAAGAGTGACCTTTAAAAGGAAAGACCTGATAACCAGAAAAACTACACACCGTTTGCAGAGGGATTCAGTGGAATTTACTTCCTCTATTTCCCTGGTCCCTGGAGGAAATTATTCATTCTGGAAGGGCACAGCTGACTGAGGAAGAAAGACATTCGGATTGAAAGAGACAATGCTTTGAACTATGTTTTTGGGCAAGATTCTATATTCTCATCCATAAAGGGAGGCATTTAGACCAGGTTATTTTAAAAAAGCCTTCTAGGTCAAACAAGGTAAGCTCTGCTGTGCTAAGCTACAGTTTGTGCCACTTAGGTAGAAATCATAAAGTTGTTACCAGACTGCAAACGCCTAGCTAGATGAGTCCAAGAACTTCAGCTGACTAGTTCTTGAATGCATAGTACATAGTGCAATACTGGGCCAATCTTCTGTGCTCTATTACACCTGCAGAGAGACACTTTAGAAGAAATGTTTTACCTTGCAGGAGTGTGGTGAGGGGGCAAGTAAGGTAATGCATTTAGAAATGCTTAGAAAGCTGAAAGTGTTTTTTTCTTTTTTTCCCCCCTTTAGAGTTATGAAATGAAGGAACTAAAGACAGAGTGAGGATATTTCTTTGATTTTGAGAAATCTAGAGCTGGAAGAAAATGTAAGGATAATCTAGTGCAGCCTACTCACTTACAATGGAAAGAGCAGTTCTAGAGGTAAAGTGACTAGCCAGTAAGGCAGCTGGTGGCAGACAGATAACAGAAACCAGAAGGTTACAGTTCTGAATTGAGGAACCTTCTGTTTTTGACATAACATCCGAGGCCATTGTGATATTTGCACTTGAAGAGTTCAACTAAAAAGTAAGTCATTTTATAAAAGAAAACTATATTGCAAGTCAGGCTTTTTTTCCCCTGTAAAATGGAAATATAAGTTTAAATATGGGAATAGTTCTACACATCTTTTAGATGCCAACTCTTGCTTTACCACGGGAGGCTTTCTACAGAAATGGCATTTACTTGCCTACATTGAGTTAGTTTGCATAAATGCAGAGCACAGTTTAGTAGTAATAAACTAGGTCTCCATTTTGTAGTAACGAACCGGGTCCTCCATGGTTTGTTTCTTTTCTTTTTTTTGAGACGGAGTCTCACTCTTTTCACCCAGGCTGGAGTGGTGCGGTGGCATGATCTCGGCCCACTGCAGCCTCCACCTCCTGGGTTCAAGCAACTTTTCTGCCTCAGCCTCCCAAGTAGTTGAGATTACAGGCATCCACCAACATGCTTGGCTAATTTTTGTATTTTTCATAGAGACAGGGTTTCACCATGTTGGCCAGGCTGGTCTCAAACTTTTGACTTCAGGTGATCCACCGGCCTTGGCTTCCCAAGGTGCTGGAATTACAGCTGTGAGCCACTGCACCAGGCTGGTTTCTTTCATTTTTAATGACTGTATCTAGCTATTTGTTTACCAATGTACCAATGTTTATTTTCAGCCCAAATCATTGAGAAGTTTAAATATATATATTTCTCATAGTTGCAACTTTTAAGTGAAATGCTTGAGAATATCTTTGTTTATGGGATCCAGAAGGTTTCTATAAGCTCATAAAAATGCAAAAAATCTGCTTATGTTGTATGTGGATATGTCTTCAGGATAATCTGAATTTTCAAAATTTACCCACAGGTAATTAGCATTGGAGTTCATTATCTCTAAGGAGTGTTTGCAGTGGGAATGGTTTGAGTGGGAACTGGCAATGTGGCAATTAGTAGGTGAGTGCTCAGAGAGACTAGATAGAAGCAGGAAAAAAAGGGCTATGCACACTCTTCACATATATTTATATATCTCTTAAAATAATGGTCTGTTCTTATACATGCTCATTTTAGAACATTTCGAAAATACCAAAAGCGCAAAGAAAAAAAGGAAAAAATATCCTGCAATCCTGTTATTCAGAGATAACAACTATTACCAGTTTAGTGTGTAGGACCCTCAGACTGTTTTTTGAAAAAATGTATTTAAACAGTATGTATAAAGAAAAATGAAATCTTTCTTATAATCAGTCTTCTATAATGCCATAATTATATTTTATATAATTAAATACAACATATGCTTTCAATCACATATTAAAATATTTTTTAGGATCATTTGAACCAAATACCATATGTAAAATCTTGATTTGTAAAATACCTTAAATTGTTTAATTCCTATAAAGCTCCCACCTTGCACTGTGTCAGGTATATGTGAGATTTTGCAATGGTAATTTTGTTTTAATGCAGTACTATGAGATAAATTTTTGAGGATACTGATTTGGATTTTTGTAGGAACTTGTGATTTTTAAACCTACAGCACTGGTTCTCAGGCCTACTTATACATTAGAAGTAACAAGTTTTCTTCCCAGAAGTATTCTCGATATGTTTTTCTTTCATAAGGTGAGGAGAACTAGGGATTTAAAAACTTTTAGACAATGCCTTATATAAAATAGTGTAATAAAGTTAGCTGGATTGTGATGGGGTGATGTCTTTTTCACCTCAAGGAAAAATATGTTTTGAGCATAGAAAATTTTAAAATAGCTGATGCCATGGGCAAACCATTTAATAACATTCTCTATAGAAAAAGAGAATTCTATTTATAGAAAAGAACTTCAAGAGATTGGGGGCCATTAGTTTGGTCCATGAAGAACAGAGACAGGTGGGGATTCTAGAGAATTGTGATACTTTATTTACCCTTGAGATTCAAATTTGGTGTTGTGGCCATTATTGGGAGTATCCAAAATAAAAATAATGGGTACACATTTACATGGATGAAGACAGAGGTTCTTTTATTTATATTTATTTATTTTGAGACAGGGTCTTGCTCTTTCACCCAGGCTGGAGTGCAGTGGTGCAATCATGGCTCACTGCAGCCTTGACCTCCTGGGCTCAAGTGATCCTCCTACCTCAGCCTCCTGAATAGCTGGGATTACAGATGCCTATATAAATAAATAAATAAATAAATATTTTTTTTTCTGGCTATTTTAAATTTTTTGTGGAGGTGGAGTCTCACTATGTTTCCCAGGCTAATCACAAACTCCTGGGCTCAAACGACCCTCCTGCCTCAACCTCTCATATTGCTGGATTACAGACATGAGCCACTGTGCCCATCAGAGGTTTTTAAATCTCCTAATCCATTTCAGGAAAGGAGAGCTGAAGGTAGGGAGGATACTCTTGCTTCTGCAATGAACCTTATTGATCAATTTGTATAATGAACACTGCCGACTTTGAGACTTTGCTCACAGCCTTCTTTTTCATGGCATGTCGATCTCTTTACTTGTTCCAATTTCAGGTCTTTCAGAATGCAGCTCAAACTCACTGCACTCTAAACTCCACGCAGAACTGTGAAGTGGGTAAATATGTATTCAGTGCTTAGTGCATTGTCTGAAACATTTTGTATGTATTAAGTACATCTCTTCCCTTCAAGAATTGTAAACAAATTGAGACATAAAGTGAAGAGTAAATAAAAGAAGAAAACGTTAGTATTACTAGAGGCTAAATTGTAGGTCGGAGTGAAGGGTGAGAAGCAGATAGTCCCGCTAATCTCACTCCTGAAAGAAAAATAGGCAGAGTGAAGCCAAGCATGGCTGTTTATTCTCCCCTAGTTAATTAATGTCCCAGGGATGAAGAGAGCAAAGGGAATTAGAGGGAATTTAGGATGATGCTTTGGGAAAACCCCTCCTCATGAGAACCAGGAGTGAAGGGGAACATATTCTCTATTGGTGGGTGCTCATTAGAGAGTTTGGTGTCAATGAATGACTGAATGCATGCATTTAATGACTTGTGGGTATATAAATAGCATTTATTTCCAGACTCAAGATTTTCTGGGTAATAGCTAACAACCCATCATGTGGCTGGTGGTTCTTGCGATCACTGTGGAATTGGTGTACCTGGTATGTTCAAGTGACCTTGTTACTAAATCTTACCTGTACCTGGCTCTGTATCATAGTCCCCAGAATGGGGAACTTGACCTGGTAACCTGAATCATGCTGGCCTCTTTCTGGGGTACTGTTGTCCAGTTCCTAGGCTCTATGAATTTTCTTTAGGTTACATATTCTGGCTCTAATGATCCACTTGATTTTTAAAGACTCAGTCATTTTTTTATTGCATATATTTGGTTCTTCTTGCTTTTTTTTTTTTATTAGTCTGGCCAGCAGTCTATCTATTTTGCTGATCTTGTCAGAAAACCAGCTCCTGGGTTTGATTTTTTTTTGAAGGGTTTTTTTGCGTCTCTATCTCCTTCAGTTCTGCTCTGATCTTAGTTATTTCTTGTCTTTTGCTAGCTTTTGAATTTTTTTGATCTTGCTCCTCTAGTTTTTTAAATCATGGTGTTAGGGTGTTGATATTAGATCCTTTCTTCGCTTCTCTCGTGGGCATTTAGTGCTATAAATTTCCCTCTTTCTAAGGTGTCCCAAAGATTCTGGTATGTTGTATTTTCGTTCTCATTGGTTTTGAAGAACATCTTTATTTCTTCCTTCATTTAGTTATTTATCCATTAGCCATTCAGGAGCAGGTTGTTCAGTTTCCATGTAGTTTGGTGGTTTTGAGTGAATTTCTTAATTCTGAGTTTTAATTTGATAACACTATGGTCTGAGTATTTGTTACGATTTTCATTCCTTTGCATTTTGAGGAGTTTTTAACTTCCAATTATGTGGTCAATTTTAGAATAAGTGTGATGTGGTGTTGAGAAGAATGTATATTCTGTGGATTGGGATGGAGAGTTCTGTAGATGTCTATTAGGTCAGCTTGGTCCAGATATGAGTTCAAGTCCTGGATACTCTTGTTAATTTTCTGTCTCATTGATCTGTCTAATATTAGTGGGGTTTTAAAATCTCCCACTATTATTGTGTGGGTGTCTAAGTCTCTTTGTAGGTTATTAAGAACTTGCTTTATGTATCTGGGTCCTTCACATAAATTACGACATTATAGTTTGTTTCTGTTTATTCACTTATAAACATGTTCTGATCCATTCGCTATGCTACTTTATCCAATCTGTTCAGATTGCGTGTTAGGTACTTGCAAATCCTATGGTTATCCAATTATCCAACATCTGGATTACTTTCAGAGGGGTTGTTGAACTGTGTTCTTCTAATTGTGTGTGTGTTTACCAGCTTTACGGCAACCAAATTTCCATCACTTTTAAGTTCTTGGGAATGCTTCTAATTATTGTATTTTATGACCATTGACAATTAATAAATAAAATGTTGATGGACAATACTGGGACTATTGGGGGACTATTAAACAATTTAACTTTTGAAGAATCACTCAATCCTTAAGAATTTATAACAGCTGAATCCTAATCTTATATTTATCTATTTCATTACTAATTTTTATGAACTGGGACTGGTAAAAAAAATCTTGCTTGTTGTCTCAGTTTACTTTTTAAAATATCTGTACTTAGTGATTGTCTAAGCATAGCATGGAAGGGAATTTTGTATTTATGGTTTGTGGTAGGATCAATTTGCATCATTAATAATGTGAATCACGGCTGTGAAATGAGCTTAAATTTTCCACCAGTGTATATTATGTCCTCCTGCAAGTGAAGAGGTGACATTTGACTCCAATACTAATGGTAGGATATATTTCAGATCCTCTAAGCAGTTCCTTGAGATCTTTGGGAGGAAGGTGCTTTATATATCCTCCAACAAGAAATTTGAGACAGCCACTTGTGAATTACTATGTGCTGACAACTTTATCTGTCTGTAACAAAAGATGTGGCATGGATTATAAATCAGCTTGTGGAGACAACTCAATTTTATGGACTGTCAATCACTTTAAAGGCAGGTGACGTCATATAATAAATACCTCACTCCTCCAAAAATCCTTTTTGGGTGCTCAGACCTTCTGAAAGCTTTGACTGGATTTTCCTGCCTTGGCTGTAAACTGTCAAATGATCAGCAAAGTCAGTGTGTTACTCAGCAGAGTGGCAGGGCTGGCTGCTGTGCTCACACCAATTGGAGGAACAGAAGGGGATGAGATTTCCTAACCTGCTGTACAGATGTGAAACCTGGATTACCCTTGGTGTTCCATTAAGTCTTTGGAGATGTTTCAGTTCATAAATTATAAACGTTGTGTATGTTGTGCATGTCATGAGAGAACAGCAGATGATAATTCCAAGTCTGTTATAGAGGAAGGCCATCCTTTGGGAGGAAGGGAGGTGGGATGAAAGACAAAAGAGAGGGAATTAGAAATGCGTTTAGATGTGAGAAGCTGAAGTAATGCTATGATGACAATTATAGTTTGGAAATGTCAGCAGCAGATGGGATCTGCTGCCACTTGCCAATTGTAGACTGTTTTGGGTCCCCTTAACAAATACATGGTTCCTTTAGAGCAAAGGGTGATTTTATAAAGCAATAGCAGAAATGTCTAAGGAGTTTGAGACTGTGGAACAGCTACTTAGCTATAAACAAACCCTATTGAGAGAGATGTGCAAGGGAGCAAGATGAAACAAGAATAACACATACGGGAGCTGGCTGAAGTTTAAGAATTGTGTGAATCTTACTGTTGAAAACTGCATTTAGCCATGGTCATAGAACATTGCCTAGTTTTGAATGAAACGATCTGCCTTTTGTATTTGGAAAATTGGTTTTAAAGTAATGGCCCAGAAATTGATTTCAAAAAATAAAATCAGAGTAAAAATAATATTTTTCCAAGTTCAATAGACATATATTTCAAATTGCATTGTGCGCCACATTTTTTCAGATGATTTAATGCAAATACAATCATTCCCTGCCTAATGCTCTCATTTGGTTGTTGAGCAGCCACAGGAGCTGGTAAGCAAGCAAACAAAAGGCAGAAAGGCAGAAAGAGGGAAGGCAAGAGCATTCTCAGGAAGTATATTGTATCTTCTGTCCTCCAGCAAATTGCCTGAAGCAAGTACATTCTCTCTCACCAAATGAGGTGGTAAGGAAAAACCACTACAGTTCTAGTCATTGTTCTGTTTTTCATTATCTGTCCCTTTCTGCACAGGCCTGAGGACTGTGATGTATATTAAGAGTTGAGCTTTGTTTCTTTTTTGTTTTTCATAAAGCCATTTGTTAAGTAAAAAATGGGCATAAATAACTAATTCACTATCAGTATATTCTGACTACTTTGTTAAGTGGAAGTGATGGCGTTATATTAAGCAATACAACTAAGTTTTATAATGTGATTAGCTTCTAAGGGTATATGGTCTCGGTCTCTTGGTCTTTCGCTCTCTGTTTTTGAGACAGTCTCACTCTGTTGCCCAGGCTGAGTGGCACCATCAGGGCTCACTGCAACCTTGACCTCCTGAGGCAATCCTCCCACCTCAGCCTCCTGAGTAGGGGAACCACAGGCATGCACCGCCATGCCCAGCTAATATTTATTTTTGTAGAGACAGGGTTTCTCCATGTTGCCCAGGCTGGTCTTGAACTTGTGGGCTAAAGCCATCCATGTGCCTTGGCCTCCCAAAGAGCTGGAATTATAGGCTTGAACCACCACACCCAGCCTATGGTCTGTATTTTTCTCTTGGAGCTAAGTTTGCTCATCGAACTTTGGTTATTACTGCAACAGAAAGACTCACATATCCAACGTTGGGGGAAATGACCTTAAAGCCACACACAAAAAAAACCTTCTGTGTTTTTGGCCAAGAGTCAGTGTTTCTTTTAAGGGATAAATTAATTTGAATTTCAATTTGAATTAATTCAAATTGAAGCTTAATTTGAATTAGTTGAAATTAACTAATTTATATATATGTTTTGGTTACTTTTACTATCAGGGAAATGATAAATCATGTAATTTACTTCAGCATTACTGAAAGCCAGAGGACAGGTTCTGGGTTCAGGTCTAATTTGACTTTCTCACATACACTGTGGAAACTGAAAAAGATGCTGGTGGAGACTCATATCAAGGTGTCTGAGGCTCACAAGGGTCTGTCGCAGAGCAGACCAAATGAGACCCCAGATTGTATGTGGATTTGTTCCATTAATAATTCAAAGAGCTTGAGACAAATGCTGCAGGAGATGACACTGACCTTGCAGAAGACAAGTGCTCTTCAAGGTGTGGCAGAACTCAGTGGAAGGAGTATGGAACGGGTCCATGGTGAGGCAGGCAATTTGCAAAAGAGATCTTTACTTGCAGAGGCAGAGTCCTTGGCCTTTTTGCTGAGGTTCCGGGGGTGTAGAATTGTACCATCTAGGAGGAATACTAGTGATTTTCAGGGTCCCAATCATAGAGATAGGAGCCAGGGGGCTAATAGATGGAGAAGAAAGCCCCTCTGAAGAGCCCCATTTTTCTGTTGTTTGGAGAAGTACCATTCTCAGCCCCTGTAGGTGTATCCCACAGTTAGTTCCGGGGACGGGCCCTGTTGGCCTAAATCAGTTAGCACGTGTTATTCCCCTGGTCATGACATTTAGTTTATGAATAAAAATAGGGCACAAACAATGAGGTATTTTTGAGGTTTCAGGAAGAGAGTTTTTCTATTCTACGAGACTCAAACCAGAGACTATGTGAAGAGCTATAGTTGTCTTGCTACCACGTAGATTTTTTTTTCTTTTTGTTTGAGAAAGAGTCTCACTCTGTCACCCAGGCTGGAGTGCAGTGGCATGATCTCTGCTCACTGCAACCTCTGCCTCCAGGGTTCAAGTGATTCTCATGCCTCAGCCTCCTGAGTAGCTGGGATTACAGGTGTGCACCAACACACCTGGCTAATTTTTGTATTTTAGTAGAGACGAGGTTTCACCATGTTGGCCAGACTGGTCTTGAACTCCTGACCTCAGGTGATCCACTGCCTCAACCTCCTAAACTGCTGGGATTACAGGCATGACCTACCCATGTCCAGTGCCACATAGAGTCTAAGCACGGCATCAATATTGAGGACTTTGGAAATAGGAAGTGGAAAGACAGGAATCAGATTCTAGTCATGTAGTTGGAGCTCTAGCATCAAGTTCTCTAGATGGGTTTCCTAGGATGCAGATGCTGAGATAGAGTTAGGAGGATAGAAAGTTTGCTTAGGAGTAATACTAGTTAAAGAAAAGGGTGGCCAGGCACAGTGGCTCATGCCTGTAATCCCAGTACTTTGGGAGGGCAAGGCGGGTAGATTACGTGAGATCCAGAGTTCTAGAACATTCTGGCCAACAGCGTAAACCCTGTCTCTACTAAAATTATAAAAATTAGCTGGACTGGGTGGTGCACCTGTAATCCCAACTACTCAGAAGGCGGAGGCAGGAGAAAAACTTGAACCTGGGAGGTGGAGGTTGCAGTGGGTCAAGATATCACCACTGCACTCCAGACTGGGCAACATGCACTGTATCTCAAAAAAAAAAAAAAAAAAAAAAAAAGAAGCCAGGTTGGGCTGGGAGAGCTTTTGGACCACAAGGCAGACCTGACAAAAGAGTCTCTGCCAGCCCACTGGAACTCTAGAGAAAAAAATGTCTCGCTAGAGGAGTTTCCTGTTGCATGGAAACAATTAGGTCCTTGTACCAAAGATTTGGTCAATCACTGGTTGTAGCCTGACCCAGAAAGATAGCCTCTGCTCCAAATGCCTTGCTCAGTCTTTGACTTGGGGTTGCATGAAGAGAAACATGATCATGGCTCAGAAGTTGATGTTGATCATTCAGGAGCTGGTAAGCTGGAAGTTAACTAATCATGCTGTGAGTGCTGGGCAGCTAGTCCTTTCTCCAGGGGTGACCTGAGAGGGGCATCACTGTGTCTGCCACACAAGCCACTGAGAAAGTCAGCCATGTGGTTTATGTGGCCAAATATATCCCCTTTTGTCTTGAAATACTGAAATGCAACTAGGAAAGTTCTGACTTGGGAGAAGAAGTGGGGTTTCTGCTCTAAGGTAGCAGATGAGAACATGCCTGTGAGTCTGAGATGCAAAAGCCTTCAGAGGCCGTTGGTCAGCACTGGGCAGTAAGGCCAGACCATCAAAAAGGGAAGAGGGTTTAGTAATACCCCTGGGTGAGGAGCTGGAGAGAGCAGCTCATGTTTTTCCTGTCTTAACTAGGTTAATCTGAAGACCCGTTCACAGAATTCTCGTCTGTGCTTACGTCTGCCTTGGGTGATTTCAATCTTCATGTGGACGAGCTTTCCATACCCTAACCTCAAATCTTTGACCTCATCTACCCTAATGACTTACACCTCGGATCCATTTTAACAACTTACCCAAAAACCCATGCTCTGAACTTCATGATCAATTAGAACTGCTTTACCTCCCAAATCTTAGACTTCAAGAACTCATTTTACAGTCACAAATTCCAATCCTTTCATTTTTCTCACTCTTTCTATAACCAATGTGATATTCAAAACATATAAATGTATCTAGATTTCTAAATCATTATTTTTTCTTTTCCTTGTTCTAATTTTTAGGTCATGTTGGCTTCACTTCATTTCAAGTTCAGCATGGACCCTGTGGTCAGTTTCTTAACTCTGCTCTCCTTCTTCCATCCAGCTTTAAATGAAGTGTCATCCAGGATTCTACTCTCCATCTGTTTGTTCTTCTTGAGTTGTATCATAATTCCCTTGACTTCCACTCCATTATTCATAGAAGACTCTCTTTAGAGTTGACCCATTATCCCTAGACCAGTGCTTTCAATTATCTACCACCAAATTCATGTGGATATTTCACTGTTATTGCAAACTCTGTGGGCCCTAGACAGTTAATTTTCTCTCCACACTCATCAACTTGCTATTTCTGTTAGTTACCCAGCAAAAGGGGCTCACTGCTCAATGCACTAGAGGCCAATATATGACATTAGGTTTTTGAGAAGAGAAAAGAAAAGCTTTTTATATCAAGTTGACTAACAAAGAGAGAGGAGTCCAGCTCAGATCTATCTCCCTGTGTTGACTTTAAGACAGTAATTTTATTAGAAGAAGCTTAAGGGGTGGATTCTAAGATTAGTAGGTGATTGATGAAAGGAAAGGAAAGGTTTGGAAAGTTACCTCTTCATGCTTCTTCATGGATCCCTTCTGCAAAGTCGGGGAGTCAGCATAAAACATACAGTGGAAATTTAGGCTGTAACATCAGCAAGCTCATTCTGTGCAAACCCTAGGTAGCCATGTTGGTTTCAACTGATTTCAGCCAGTTTGTTATCTTACAAGCAGAGGGAGTTTCAGCCTTATATAAGTTGTTTCTTTTCTTATCTGCCATTTTGCAAACTCAAGAATCTGTTAGTCATTAGCGTGTAACTCTTTGGGGCCCGGTTTCATTTCTTTGTTTTCTACCCTTGTCTGAAATACAGTCATCCTAGTACAGCTGGGTTAGTCATGGTTCTCCAGTGATTGCTCACTGGGTTCTGCCTCATTCCTCCCCTATAAAGTTCCCCATCAGTATTTCACCTAACTGGTTTTTGTTTTTTCAGCCACCGATAATTATTTTTTAGATTGAGGTTCAGCAAACACTTTCCTCAAAGGACCAGACAGGAAATATTTTAAACTTTGAAAGCCATATGGATACAACTTTTCAGTTGTATTAGAAAGGCAACCATAGACAACATTCAAACTAATAAGCCTGGCTATGTCCCAATAAACTTTAGAGATGCTAAAATTTAAATTTTATATATTTTTCATATATCATATAATGTTTTTTGGGATTTTTTTTTCCCCAACCATTTTAAAATTTGAAAATCATTCTTAGTTCTTGAACCATACAAAAATGGGGAGCAAACTAAATTTGGCCAAACATTTGCTTACCCCTGGTCTAGATCCATTGTTTTACAAGAAGTTGTAAAAATGAGATACTCTAATTCTACAATGTATTTAATACTGCATTTAATACTGAAATTATTTTATATAGATGTTTGTCTCATCAACTATGGATATCCATAGGTACATTTTGTACAAGAAAGACATGATAAATGCCTGATTTTTCCCCTTATTTACTAATTTTTAGAACAATGAGTTTGTTCCTAAATGTGATGGTTAATTTTATGTATCAACTTGATTGAGCTACAGGGTACCCAGACATTTGGTTAAACATTTTTCTGGATGTGTCTGTGAAGGGGTTTTTGGAAGAGATTAACATTTGAGTCAGTTGGTTCAGATTGCCCTTATCAATGTATCTGGGCCTTATCCAACCAGTAGAAGGTCTGGATGAAACAAAAAGGTTGACCCTCCCTCAAGTGAGAGGGAACTTCTCCCTGGCTGCATTTGAGCTGGGATATTAGCTTTTCCCTATCTTTGAACTTCAACTAAAACTGTTTCTCAGGCTTTTGGGCTTGGACTGAACTAAACTATTGGCTCTCCTCGGTCTCATGTTTGATGACTCTTCCTATAGATTCTTGGGACTTGTCAGCCTCTATAAATTGCATGAGCCTATTCCCTATTATAAATATTTTTCTCTACACCTCCTATAGGTTTTATTTATTTTTTTTAAGAACCCTGACTAGTACACGAAAATAATCAATGAAAACCTAAACTCATGATTTTTCAGATTTTAGGTTTTCCAATCTATTATAGTATACTAGTTATTAGTATCTTGATGTTTTATGTAACTCACCTTTTACCAATGACAGCCACTTCAAGTTGAATCCATCATCCTGTTGACATGGTGCTGGTAATACTTTTTAGTTTTCTTGTTTTCTGGCATACCATCTTATATTCTAGGCTCATTTTTAAAAAACTATTTTAAAAAGAATTATTTTAAAGAGCAAATGATATTTTGGTATAACAGTCTTTAGCCCTGGGAGAGTGTTCATTGCTAATGGGTTTGTTACTGTTTCTAGACTTTTTCAGTGAAAAAGCAAAGCAAGCAAATATGCATGTTTCTCTTTTAAAAAGAGAAAATACATCATGAAGTAATACTTATATTCTAAACTCAAAAATACTTTGTTACAGAAGCTTTACATTTTTATTTATAGGTTTGTACTCTGACATTAAAAATCTTGTTTCTTAATTACACTAAAAAGTACTTACATGTTTTAACCTATAATTTTAAAATAGCAACACCAGTATTATAAAAATACAATTACTGGCCAGGTGGCGGTGGCTCACGCCTGTAATCCTAGCACTTTGGAGGCTGAGGTGGGTGGATCACCTGAGGTCAGGAGTTCGAGATCAGCCTGGCCAACATGGCAAAACCCTGTCTCCACTAAAAATACAAAAATTAGCCAGCTGTGGTGGTGTATGCCTGTAATTCCAGCTACTCAAGAGGCTGAGGCAGGAGAATCAGTTGAGCCTGGGAGCCTGAGAGGCAAAGGCTACAGTGAGCTGAGATTGTACCACTGCACTCCAGCCTTGGTAACAGAGCCAAACTCTGTCTCAAAGCAAGCAAACAAAACAAAACTGTAATTACTGAACATGGCTTAGAATTTATTTGCAGTTCTAGATGTTCTTAAGGTATTTCCCAGTAGGAACATATTACTAAGTTACCATGTTTTAAACTACTTGAAATAATTATTCTTTATATTGAGAAGCTAGAGATGTGACACACAGGTTTCTTTGTCTGTTTTGCTTTTGATTTCAGATATTAATGTTTTCCTTTTGATTTTTGTTTTATAATTATGTAAAACATTTGCATAGTTCTAAAGTCAAAGCTTCATTATTACTTTCCGAGAAGGCTAGCTTCCATGTTTGTCCCCTATATACTTTCTTCTCTTCCCCTTCCTACCTGCCTTATGCTAACAATGTGTATTTTTTGATATATCTTTTTGTATTTTTAATAGAAGCAAATATATACATGAATGCTTCTTTCTTACACAAATAGTAGCATACTATATACAGTATACTTCATCATGCTTTCTTACTTAATGCTATTTTTTGGTGAACCCTCCACAGCTATATTAGATATATTGAGATATTCACATTCTTTTTTACAGCTATGATACTCCATTGTGTGACTGTACAATAATTTACACAACAGATCCCCTTTTGACGGATAGCTGAGACCAGTCTTTGGTTTTTGCCAATGATCCTATAGTAAGAAACCTTATGCATATGTCATTTTGCATTTTATTTTTTTAGCATATGTTTGGGTTAAGTAACTGGAAGTGGGATTTTTGCATTAAAGGGAAATTGCACATGTAATTATTCTAGATATTGTTAGATTCTTCTCCAAATGTGTTGTACTTTGTAATATTCCCCCAGAAGTGCATGGGAAAGCCTGTTTCTGTACAATCTTATTAAGGAGTATTGTTAATTTAGATTTTTTTTTTGCCAATCTGATATTTGAAGAATAGTATTTTAGTGATTTTATTTATCATTTATGTTGAGTAAGACTGCCATCTTTTTATATGATTAAGTGTTGTTAGCCTTTTTTCTGTGAACTCTGTATCTTTCATAATTTTTTACTGCGGTGTTATTTTTCTATTTTTTTTTTTGAGATAGTTTCACTTTTGTTGCCCATGCTGGAGGGCAGTGCATGGTCTCACCTCATTACAACCACTGCCTCCTGGGTTCAAGCAATTCTCTTGTCTCAGCCTCCCAAGTAGCTGGGATTATAGGCACCTGCCAGCATGCTCAGCTAATTTTTTTAGTTTTAGTAGAGACAGGGTTTCACCATGTTAGCCAGGCTGGTCTCAAACTTCTGACTTCAGGTGATCCACCCACCTCGACCTCCCAAAGTGCTGGGATTACAGGCATGAGCCACAGCGCCGGGTCTATCTTGTCTATTTTTAAAGGTTATTTCTAGAGTAGTGTTTTTAACCTCTGTTACATATGTTAAAATTTAAAAATCAATTTTTCACTGGTCTTTTTACTTTGCTTATGATTTTGTTTTTGTCACAAAATACTTCTACAAAAATTTAATGGTTTATGACTTGTCACTCTCTCTTAAGCAGAATGTAAATCCGATGGGCATCAGGCCTTTGTCTTCCTTTTGACAGCTGTATCCCTAGCACATAGAAAAGTGGCAGGAGCTCCATAATTACTTGAATGAATTTTACTGAATGAATATAACATACTGGAGCCTTAAGGCATATAAATTATGGTTTAAAGTAAATATAAAAATTAAAGTATGTGATGCCAACTGTATGTCCCGTAGGAATCAGAGGAAAATTCATGTGGGATTGAATCATCAAGCCCTGTCTTCTTCAGAAGGCATGTGTTAAACAATGAACTACACTTGGATACATGGAAGGAAGAGAAAGAGAGGACATTTCAAGTGTTGAAACAAAGACAAAGGTACACAGGCATGTGGGCATTGTTGTAGATACCAGCATAGAATCAGATAAAGGGTAAAAGCCATATTTACAAAACCCAAAAGAATAGCTTAGTTTATTTCTTGGTTTATTTGGAATGTTCTAGAATGATGCTAGGCCATTCTTTCATTGCTATAAATAAATATCTAAGGCTCATAGTTCTGCAGCCTGCATAAACATGGTGCCAGCATCTGCTCGACTGCTGGGGAGGCCTCAGGGAGTTTTTACTTAAGGTGGAAGGCAAAATGAAAGCGAGCACATCACACGACAAGAGCAGGAGCAGTAGAGAGGAGGACGTGCCACACTGTTAAACAACTGGATCTTGTGTGAACTCATAGTGAGAACACATTCATTGCCATAGATGTTGTGCTATGTCATCCATGAGAGATCTATTCCCATGATCCAGTCACCTCCCACCAGGACCCCTCTCCAACACTGGGGATTACATTTCAACGTAAAATGTGGGTGTGACAAAAATACAAACCTTATCAAATGAGTTGATATGGGTTATAGATACATAGTTAGGCTTTAAAAAGAAGGCACTTTGCCTCTTTTGTCTTTTTAAACATCATCTTCATACAAATAGGTCACAAATTTTCATTGGCTTCATAAGCCTTTGTATTAGTATATCAATTGGGCTATCATTACAAAGAAAGTAAGCTATTGAACATGCAGGCTACATATGTATAGAGGAAGGTCTTAAGTCAGCATGTTTAATGCATATGGTGGAGAGGCATACCATTCTCTTTGATGCCTGTTGGATGGATGGTTTTGGAGGAAGTGCCAGCCAGGTCACATTGGTTGTGATTTAAGAGGCCCTTCTGGAAAGGGCATGCCATACTGTCTCCGTCTTAATCGCTTAACTCTGCTGCTTTACCAAGAAATTAGCCACAGGCAATAGATAAACACTGAATGTGATCATGTAATACAGTTACTT